CACACAAATTACATACATTACGTTATTGCCCATGTCGGAAGGCCAGCCGAGAGCTTAGAGCTTGCCGCGACTGAGGTGGTGCACGCTGGTGGAAGATACCCGGATGTGGAAAGTCAGCAGCCGACGCGTAGATTGACCTGATCGGCCGATCAGCCGACCTGACCTCATTTTTCAGCGGGATAAATCACCGCTTCCTCCCGTGATAAAAGCATACACTATACAAACGAGAATAATGACCCTTGCGATTGAAGCACTCGAAATCACGAAATGATCACTCAATCGAACTGAGCGAACTATCCTTAGCAGGAGAGAGATAATATATCTGTGTAGTGTAACTTAAAGATTAAAACTTTAAAAAATTGAACATTAATGACGTCATCAAATTTTAGCGTTTTGTAGAGAAGAAATTTTTTTAGAGCAAGTGGATTGTATAATCCATTATTGAAAAATAATACTATAATTATTACCGAGTGAAGTGTTTCAGGGCGTAGCACGCTGACTTCACACTCTACACTGCAATTTTCATTTCTGGACATTCTGACCGAGGCTCTTCGTGATTTTGCTCGGTCATTCAGGCTGGGATGGTCATATTGAAAGGCGACGACCGTAAAACTCGGGCCTTTGAGTTAGTCCTTTCTCCAAGTGGTTAACGAATTTGGCTACCCGTATTCGTTAACCAGTTGAAGGCCCGAAGATTAAGGGAATTCGTGACATCGCAAGTTCCTGGTTAGGTGACCAACTAGGAACCCTCGGGATCCAACGGTGCCGAGGCCAATTGCCCGTTACGGAACATATAATGACCAAATACAAACACAGAAAAACTGGAATATTATTATTAATATTGCTTACAAAATATTTGCAATGATTCCAATAAGGATCGGAAATTTATATAAAATGTAATAAAGTTCTATTTAACATTGTAAATAATTTATATTTCTGCGTGTATACAAGTATCATATCTCAGTCGTGTATGTATTATTTTCCGTTATAGTTATTTAATTATTTACAAAATTGTAGTACTCAATAGCCTCTTTCAATTCAACACCCTGCAACCTGCGTCTCCCCGCGTCGTACTGAGCGCGCGCTCCCATTCCACCTGCGTTCGGGGCGCCGGCGATTTGGCGCGGGTCGCGCGGATGACGTGTGGGCCTGCGCCGCGCCGGCAGGG